TACAAAAGCCACACGGCTCCACCATACTATATTCTATGTCATTGGGCTTTTGGGTGTCAATGGGAATTGTTGGAGATCTACATATTTAATAAGGATTAATTTTTTAAAATTTCTGTAGGACATTTCCGGGAGTATTCAGCCAAGGTTTGCAAGACATCGCTTAGAAAAGACAGTAAAAAATCAAATAATCGGTCGCATAGTCTAGAACTAGCTCCGATTTGCACTCGGGTGACCAGGGCCATAATTTGGAAAATGGGGGTGGAGATGCCGAGGAGGAATCCCTAGGGCTGAGCCACACCTTAGTTTGTTTTGGTGTCCATTTTCGCGTAACTGAATTTTGGTTGGGAACTAACGATTCGGCCTTATGTGCTATTTCCGGTGAGTCATTACTCCTCGAATGCCCAGAAATATACAACATCGAAATGGACGGAGTGTTGTTCAGCCGAGGTCCATTCTTAGTTCCTCCGTACACTTCCAAGGTTTCTGTATACACTAGCCACATCGAGATCAAGCCATGTGGCTGGTGTCCAATGGTTCGGTCCCAACATTCATTCCTGCACAACATCTGCAAAGCACATTCCTCTTGTTTCTTCGTACTATTCCAAACCTCGGATAACTCAGGATTGTGGCTGCGAAATAATATTCTCCCAACTTGCGATTGTCTTACTCCGATTGTCTAGGATTGTCTTGCGATGTCTCCCCACTGCCCACCAATCGGCGGATTCCGCTCGTAGTTCAACAGACGCGATAGTCAGCTGACCATCCTCCGTACATCTCATGGCATGATAAGCTGAATTTGGAAACTGGTCCATGGATCTTGTTTGTGTATAGGGACTTGATGACCAGCTGACCCCAGATCTTGAGTCACCACCGGTTATTTACTTTACTTTTAATTTACTTTGACTTTATTTTTGGGCTAAGGGCTACTCTCCATGTCTCAAATTTGTTCCCCGGTACAAGCGCTTGTCTATTGGGCTAAGCTCATAGGCTCGGCGGGAAATGCCCAACTTGTTACACAACACTCTCATCCGTCTCTAATATATGGGCACATGGTCTCCTTACTGTGGGGTGATTGCCTTAATTTTCCGGTCTACACGGAGTAGTACTGTCGATGATTCCATGACTCGATCACATGTGAATCATATGTTTTCCCCTTTGACTCAAAATTTGTTGAGATAAAATTAGAGTACATATTTGATTTGATCGGATCCCTCCAGGCTACTCCGTGCTAAATGGATAGCGGGCTTTGTAGCACGGAACACCATGGGTAGCGTGGTATGTACGGATACTGCGGGTTACATTTTCGAAATTTTCTGTCTAGCGCTGTCATCTTCAACCGTGCATATGCACATGGCTTGGACACTAAATGCCAGTGCATCAGATTGCAGATCAAGGGCCTCCGAACCGAGCAGCACCGGCAAACCCCGGGTTTCCAGCTTGGATCTCGTTTAGGCGCAAGAACAGAGGCCGCAGCAATAGTCCTCCAGATGCCATGTGACCCCCGAGGATCTCCCTTTGAAATCCACTAGCGCGAAATAAATCCGACCGGCAGGTTCCATTTTCTCGGTCTGGACGCGCGAACTCGGGTCCGGGGTCTGCCGTATTTACCGAACAGTCTGGCCCAAACCCGACTGATCTCCCTTTCCCATGTGGACAAAACCGGGAAAGTCTTGGCGGATTCCTCGAGGGTGCACCGAAACGTGGCCCCTACCGAGTCTGGGGAAGTGGCAAACCAACCTCAGCTGATCCAAATATCCAGATCCAATGGCCCACTCAGATTATAGTGGAATGTATAAGATCTGGGGATATATTGGCCTTCCGAAGGCACCATGATTTACGATGTACATTAACCTCCTTCTCAATTAGGCATCGATCCTGTTCATTACCAATAGAGGGCCCCTGCATAAGACTCAAACGACCACGGAGAAAAATTTTTCACCGGCATGCAATCCCGACCATAAAACCTATGTCAGCACCTTAATCCGGGTTTCTCGGCGATGGGTCTGCGAGATTGTCATGCAGGATCATATTTAGTAACGAGCTAATGCAGCAGCGAAAAGTTTTTCAATGTAAATGATTGGATGCTGGGCTAGGGCTGCACAGCCACTTCTCGGTACTGCCGTTACGCCGTTCAAGTTTTCCGGTTATCTGTTACCGTACGGCACTTGGAGCAGCCACAATCTGCAGGTAATCGTATTTGGTATCTCTGGTATGTTCCAGAAGGAATTTTCAGTGGCTTTTGCATGCCGCTAGTGTTGCATTCGGTAAAGCGTGGTTGTTTTCGTTCTTCTGGAAGCTTTCTATTTTCGTCCCGGAATGCCGGCCTCCGGGCATCGCCGACATTGTCGGAGGACCATGCTCCTGTTTTCAGATGCAAGATTTTTTTTGCTTTGCGCGTTTTGTTATTGATGATTTAGATTTTTGGCATTTTGGATTACCAACACTGACTGATTATTCTGACTCACACCTTGGCACCTTCAAAAATCCATGACGTGTCTGTCTTATATCCTCGAGGCTGGCCCGCGTATGCTTATACTATGCGCTTCGTTACTTTGAGTCAAGAAATTTTGGAAAGAAGGCTCCAAGGAGCTTTGTTGGGAAAAGAGTCGTGGCTATGCAACTCATGACAGCAAGGAATGGCACATTCTTCACTTCGTTGCCTATGTACACGTGTTATTCTAGAATTTTGGAACCTAACCACGATCTATCCCTGCATTCCGAAATGCCACATGTCTCTGATTATAATACAGAATAGTGGCTATGTCGTGTTTCTGTCTGATACTCAAACCGTATAGATTCTCTAGGATTCCATCGATTACCAAGCACCCATGAGCCACCCTCTAGGACAGGTTAGTTGCTTGTGATTGTGCTTTTGATGGACCCTTGAAATATCCCAGCTAGTTGGTGGGTAGATAAGATGTATTTGTTTGCTGGCTAAGCAAGAGATTCTTTCATCTTGCAGAAGTGGCCAGCTATTGATGCATTTGGGCACATTCACTGTTACCCCAAGCAGTTTGTAGACCTCTCTTTGGCATTCCTTTTCCCTTTCTTTCTTTCCTCTCGCAGGCAGCTTGGCGTTCAGCTTGCTGCGTTGGCGGTCTCTTTACTTCGCCTGCAGAGATGCTTCTGTTAGATTCTAGAGGATGAGATCTTTAGAGCTTTGTGGGATGAATCATGAAGCTATTTAAAGAACTTCAGATGTGTGGTTAGATTATCATCTTCCATATATCTTGATTATCACTTTCTACTTGATCATTTCTCTTCCTCCTTGCGTAGTCTGATACGTTCATCAGCAGGCCCTCTCCCACTTCTGTACTTTCTCTCTTGTCTTGGTTATGCTGGATTGAAGCACTCCCCTTGATCTGGCTCGTCATACTTCTATTTATATTTATATATGAATTACGGAACCAAATGTGGTAGGAATCACATGCTTCCATGTCCTCAATCCAACGGGGTTGTACCAAGGTACAATAAGGTATGGCACAAGGAAGACATCAAGCCTGACACCGGTAAAGCATCTGATAGTCGACCAGCCTAGTCCTCGTGCATCCAAGAAAAGACCCGATCGCTGGAGAAGGAGATCGAAAACATCCAGACTCCAAGTTACAAGTTGGAAAAACTCGTTGGCTATAGCGAAATGCTTTGAAAAGGTGACGAGATGGTATATTTGCAGGACAGACAGCGGGTGGGGGGGGGGGGCAATATTGTGAGTTTAGCTAACGAATGGGATGACTTACTACTGTGTTGATATCTGACTATTGATTAGCCCCCAGAGGGCCAGAGGTTACTATAGAGAGCACGTGGTCAGTACCTGCAGGTATATACCGAGCCATTCATAGAACATATTTATTGGCACGGCAACGACCAGTATCACTCAGTATACAACCTTGGGTCGCAACGTGACACTCCTAGAATGTCTTCAGTGCCAGGAACGCACAGACTTACGCTCATCGGTATTCGGCACCGACGAGATCTGTATGCACTGCACTTCCGCGTTGCCTTCGACGACCCAATGACGCTGGTGTCACTGACACAAGGACATGTAGTTACTGTTGGGTGCCCGGCAAGGCAGGCACCAAGTGAGTCCAGATCCCACATAACTACTTCTTCCCTTTCCTCCCCTCCTTGTCCACCTCTATTCAGCCGAATCTACGCACATTGTTTCTCTCAAACCGATACATGATGTATTACCACAGAAGCAGCTCTCGATGTAATAAAGATGACCACAAATTCCCTTATCTGATGGTGATATTGTAGTCCTTTATGTTACGATCGCAACGTTTGCTTGTTTGTTTCTTTGCTTGTTTGCTATTGCTAAGCGAGAGTTGGTTGTTTACATTGTTTACAAAGTGGTCAGCTATAAGAACTGGCTGTCTCCCACTTTGCAACTTGCTTCTTCTTTCTCCCCTCATCTTGGTTATTTTGAATTTAATGCACTTTTTGTCTAAAAGACCTGGCACGTCACACTTTATACAGAAGTTGGAACTTATCATATCTATCTAAGTGAACAATTTCTAGGAAGATCTTCCTTGTATGTTTTGGCTTGTGTAGTCAAAGGAAAAGTGAAATTTCAACATCCCAGCATGTTAGCTCAGGGGAAGAGCGCCGGGCTCATAACCCGGAGGGCCCTGGATCGAAACCAGGACATGCTATATTTTTTATTTTTTTTCATCCCACTCACTAACTATACTATTTTTTACAAGATCTCATGCAGGCCTGTGACAAATTGAGTAGTTTGCAATTATACAGCGCGTCTGCTTTTGTGGGTTGTTTTACCTTAATATTTAGCATGCGGAGGTGGGTGGTTAGGTAGACCAGGTAACCAAACATCAACTTGCACATATACTCTCACTCTTAAAAGAATGCAGACCTACTCATCAGCTGACCCCACCATCCTTCACTCTTGATCTCTCACCCTGCACTCACTTTCATCAGTAACCTCAACGCAGAGAACAAAATCTGAACGTCCCACACCTAACGCTCACCACTGTCTCGTCGATATGAAGGACGAGAGTACCTGCGCCAGGATAATCCGACAGTTGGGAACTACATATCAAGGTGGAGAGAATGAAGATGTCAGCCCTGCCAAGGAGCTTTTGGACGCCTTGAAAATGTACCAGATACTACCACAGAAACCAGAAAGACAATTAACGTCATCACAGCATACGGGTTGAGCCAAAATACAGTGACCTGATTATTGTGTGTGGAGACAACGAATATGCCGTGCACAAGTGCATAGTTTGCCCACGATCGGATTTCTTTGCCAAGGCCTGTGACAGTGGGTTCCAGGTGAAACAGAGACCAACATATGAGTCCTGCACACTCGACTAACACAACCAAGGAAACATTCACAAACAGGGTCATACTACAAGAAGAGCCGATCTTGGTCAAGGGAATGATCGAGTATCTCTACCACCTGGACTACGAGGCGCAGGTTCACTGCCCAGAGCCAGACGTCTCTATGGGTCAACGCAAACCAACACCGGACTCGGATGCCATGGAGATTCTTGAACAAGCCAAGAGGCCAGCGATCATATCTGACACCCTATTGTTTCACATTTTGATGTACTCCCTGGCAGACCGGATGTTCATTGAAGGACTGAAGTCCCTCTCAAAGGCCAAGGCCAATCAAGAGCTGACCCGACAGATAAACCTGGAGACATTCACGCATGCGATTACTGAGATCTACAACTCAACACCCGCGAGCGATAGAGGGTTGCGAGACATGGCAATCAAACTGACCATGGACAATCTGATACTGTTGGGAAGGATGAGGCAGTGGTCCGAACAGGGATTTCTACCGTTGAAACTCCCAGACGGTTTGATGAAAACAATTCCACAGTTTTCCTATGACTTGGCTGTGGCGATGATGGACCAGAAGATAGCCGACTGGGAATGCCGTGGCTATGGAATGAACTGGGAAAATCATTGATACCACGGCCTAGCCTGGGGCTTATATCATACTCCCGCGAAAGCAGCTTGTTGGTAAGACATTTGAATCCAAGGCGATATCTCGCGGGTGGGAATAGATGGAATGAGAAGACCAAGTCTTGTCAGCTTCACCAAGGGTGGGCGAGTTGGAGGTCAGCAAGGTGATATCAGCTAGACTCCGTTTGGTCTATCGGGGTTCGGGTATGTGTCTTCCATAGTTGTCCTACTGTGGTCGGAGTAATACCTATATTGCACTCCCAGTCTCACTCCAAACTACCTATTGACATACTTAATTTCTTCTTGATTGCTCATGCCTTCGGTCTGTGTGGTGGTATTAGTAGAGGGTATACTAGCTTGGATGGTTGCTAATTGACCACGTAGTGCTCTGTTGTATATTCGTCTCTTGGCGGGACTACATGTTTGTATTATCTGCAGGCCTGTTGGTCTATCCAAATGTATTGGTGGATTTATTTCTCTCGACCTTGTAGTATACAGCTGGGTGGCAAAAAAAGTATGGACCTCCGTTTCAGGCGGTTCAACTCGGTCTTCGTATGATAAATTAGTCTCCATCACCTGGGATTCAAAGGACACCATATATTTCTATTCCAAATCTGAATATTAAATCCATCTCTCGCATGTTTCGATTATATGTGCATTTGCCGCTTGGTTGTGGGTAGATCCGAATCTGTCATGCTTCATAGCGCCAAGCAAGGTTGAACTTCCTTTTTGGGGGGTTCATCTTCGACTTGGGTAACAGATCTGTTTCGCTCACCACACCACAATGCGTGGTCTATATGGCTCTATTGAAGTATGCATGTAGTATATTACTTGCGTATTTATTATATGCGTGTATTTTGTTCGAGTTCAATGCCTTTGTGTGCGCTGAATGAGACTCTACGGTTTAATGTTTGGCTTGATATATATCCGTGGTATAAATCAGTATGCATCTACGTCCACACACACTCTTCCAACAACACACATACTTCAAATCATACGAGCTAGCCATTCAAATAGCTGGAACATGAAAATAAAGCACAGCATACGCAATTAAATGCAAACTACAAAAAAGCATGATGAATTGTTACAGAAGTGTATATGGTCGCCTGCATACATTGTGGAAGTACTGAAGAACCAGCAACACAATGAACTATGATAGAATAGACATATAGAGGGGTTAAGTTCTAGGAACACTAGGTCAACAACAGAGATCGAACCAATATAATCCATGGTGGGTTGATGTTGGGCATGGAAAAGAGGCCAGCCTCAGGCAGTCAAAACAACGCGTCAAGCAACGCGAAGACCGAAAGATCAAGCCACCGACAATAGAGTGGCAAGCACCAAAATACAAAATAGAAGCCAATAAACAAGAACGTACAGGTACATCTACCACGAGATCTACTCAGAACAGACATCAATTATTTCAAGTTTTGATTGATTGTATTCGTATCGGATCGCACTTATGTGCTTGATCCCACCATGCCTATGGTGCCAGCCGTAATGTAGAGGCCGTTATGATACAGAAAAGCTCAGAAGCGCACACTATGGACGCGCAATAGTGGTAATCGAGTGATATGAAAAGCAAACCCAGAGACCCATGACAGTTGCAGTAAAATAAATCAGAGAACACCCCAACGTCCCGTCGTACCGTGAACCAGCCCGGAAAAGAAAACAACAAATGATTTAGCCACCGAAACCGTAGAGGGTACCTGAAGAGGAAGGTTAGAGACGCGTTGGAGAATGGGAAGACACGTGGAAACTTACGGCCCTGGCGCTTGAGAGCGTAGACAACGTCAAGAGAAGTGACAGTCTTGCGCTTGGCGTGCTCAGTGTAGGTGACAGCGTCACGGATGACACCCTCGAGGAAGGTCTTGAGGACACCGCGGGTCTCCTCATAGATCATAGCGGAGATACGCTTGACACCACCACGACGTGCGAGACGACGGATAGCGGGCTTGGTGATTCCCTGAATGTTGTCACGCAAAATCTTGCGGTGACGCTTGGCACCACCTTTGCCGAGACCCTTTCCACCCTTGCCGCCTGAAATGAGACGCGTTAGAACGCGTTGGAGAAGTGGAAGTGTGGGGTAAGAACTTACGGCCAGACATATTGAATATGGATTAGAAGAAAAAGGGGGTTGTAGAAGTGGGATGGAGATAAGTTGGTAATTGAGAGGTTGTCGATGGAATTGATGGAAGAAGAGGGAAAAGAAACGGAAGTGGACAGAGGATATTTGTATGATACGGGAATGAGCGAGGATTGGGAAATCACGCGCTAGGGATCGCGTCCGCCAATGAGAGCGCAGGATCACAGACCAACCTTGATCTGCCGGGAGACCCCAGAGTTGGCTCGCCGACTTTGCCGTGGTCGGTCTTTGATCCTGGTATCACCCGCCACCAACAATGTAAATTTGTAGGAAAAAGAAAGGATTATACATTCCAAATGATGGTGAACACGCTCAGATGCATTACTCCCCCATCCAAAGGAGGTTGGGTGCAAGATCAAGAATTCAAGGGTTGAGCATTCTATACTCCCTGATCCTGCGTTCTCATTGGCCCACCTCTCGCTTAGTTGGCAGTACCAGCACTTTGATCCAGCTCGGCCAATCAGAGCTCACCGCAAATCGGTCTCTGGGCTACACGCTGCGCAGTCCCCAGTCCTACGCGCTGAGTTTCCTGACTGATCCTGATCGGCTGCCGTGCGCTGATTCGTGGCTCCCTTCCAGATCAATCCCCCCCCCTCCCGTCTCCTACAAATACTCTTCCCCCACCCGCCTCTCTCTTCCCTTTTACATCCATCCACCACCAACCAACTCTTTCATCAACAAAACCACATTTTCATCAAGTCTATCATCAAAGATGGCTCGTACCAAGCAGACTGCCCGTAAGTATTACTTCTATCATATTTCATTCATCTCACTGCAGATACCTGATTAGTCGGGTGTCCGCCTTGAGGATGGGTGACGCGTTCACGCGTTGGACATGAAACATTTTACTAACTGTCGCAAATAGGTAAGTCCACTGGTGGCAAGGCTCCCCGTAAGCAGCTCGCTTCCAAGGCCGCTCGCAAGGCCGCCCCCTCTACCGGAGGTGTCAAGAAGCCCCACCGTTACAAGCCCGGTAAGTCACATATCTTGTCGTCGTCGACGAATACACTTGAAACATATTCTAACGTTCATCTCCAGGTACCGTCGCTCTCCGTGAGATCCGTCGCTACCAGAAGTCCACTGAGCTTCTGATCCGCAAGCTCCCCTTCCAGCGTCTGGTCCGTGAGATTGCCCAGGACTTCAAGTCCGATCTCCGCTTCCAGTCCTCTGCCATCGGTGCTCTCCAGGAGTCCGTTGAGGCTTACCTCGTCTCTCTCTTCGAGGACACCAACCTGTGCGCCATCCACGCCAAGCGTGTCACCATCCAGTCCAAGGACATCCAGTTGGCCCGCCGTCTCCGTGGCGAGCGCTCGTAATTTTTCTTTTCAACGAGCTGGTTTTCTGAAAGGCGATCATGGGGTTTGTTTTTATCTTTTTATCATGACTACTGGCGATACATGATGGGTTTGCTTTCAATATCAATGGGTTTCGGCACTGGGTTGCTTCGCAATTTTGCTTTTTTATCGATGCTACTGCTCACCATCGATTGATGGATCAGTCATGGGCATGTACATTACGGGGGCTCCCTTTAACATGATGCCTTAGCGCGCATCATCTCATGACAAGACGCTTTAATGCTGTCTTCTTGATTCAATACTTTCTCTCCCTCGTAAATGATAAATATTAATTTTTACGTGACTTGCGACCGACTTGTCTTGTGTAGCTTTTGATCCGCTGAGGCTTGAAGTGTTCTTGCTTTGTTCTCTTTGGGTCTTGTGGTCTCATGTCCGTCCTCGGTCGCAAGGTTGCCTTTCACCCCGTTCAAACCGGGCACCCCAATACCAACGCCCAACAACACCGTCGAAAATGAGATTGGAGATTAGTCAAGCTGCAAATAACAGAATCTCAGACATGGTTCTTTCCAAACCAACCTGAAAACAGGTGATTCGATCCCACCCCGAATCTTCCGGCAGGTTTCCTCTCGTTGCGCAACGGAATCCTAAGTACGAGATTCTTCTATAATTAGACAGCGACAAACAGACAATGGAATCTGACTCTTAGACTAGAAAAATTCTCGGCCACTTGGAAAACCCCGCTTAAAGAACGTCGGGTCATCTCCTTATACTACCTAGTACTTGACTCATATCCGAAGCACTCAATGTACCTCCCGACTATGACTTCATCTTGACTTAATCCTGCTTTTCAACAAGCAACTGGAACTTGGAAGTCCGCAATCAAATCCTGCAATACAATAATCAAGCAACAATCAAATAAAGAATTAAACAGCACACAGCACGCAATCTGAATGCGAGTTTCCGACTGGTTCATACCATATCATGCTAAAGCCCTGGCCAGACCCAAACCTGATTGCCACGTAGCACTTCACTCTAATCAAAAGCGTGACTTGAATGAGCTCAGCGTGTCATAGAGGCTCTAGGCCGCAATATGTAGGTACATTGTACATTGTAGGTAGTACTGTAAGGCTCATTACCCTTCAGATCCCGAGGAATGTTCATATAAAACAGGATTATCTGCGCAGGGTAGTATCATATGACCAATCCTGAACTCGAAAGAACAATGAGTAGATCAGATGAATACATTTGCCGATCCTGGTATCAAACCTAGTCCAACATACGCAAGCGAGAGCAGCTGGAGCGCATTCCTGGTATGAAAACACCGATGTAACAGTTACTGCGTACATGGATTGAGTTGTTGAACAGATCTATTCTACATGTTAAAAAATCGAAATCTCTTCCCCTTGCAAGGCTGAAGACGCTATGCTATCTAGTTATGGATCCCAGCTGTCATGCCAAGTTTAAGTGGAGACAGAGTGACTTGAACGCGTGTTTTGTTTCTTTGATCTTACTGCCCACATAGCCGGAAAAGCTTTGAGATGAGAGAAGGAGGTAGCTGGAGATGAGAAGGATGTACTCCTAGAACCTGACACGTATAGACATCTTGGGTACTAAGATCAAGGCTATATAGTCTCGTGGTAGATGTATCCATCCTCGGTGGATCCATACATAGTTAGTTCGTTACATGTATGGGTCTAACTGGCCTGAGGCAAGAAAGAAGGCGCTAAGACACGTGGAAAATTCTAGCTTCGATTCTCTCGATATAGTAATTGTTACATACAATACAGAGGTATTCACACCGCTGATTGGTCGCGTGAGTGTTGTCAATATTGGAGTGGAAGCTCCCGAGGTCCACTGGCATCTTAGATCTGCTCAACAAGTCGACCACTTTTACCAGCGTTGGATTTCATGCTTTGTGATTGGGACTGGCAGAGGTGGTGAATGGCGAAAGAAGGATTTTATAGGTTTCCATGGAACAGCCTTTTCTCATTAATTCGTTTCCTATTCAAGAACTACAATCTACTTTCCTATCGAATTGAAGTGACACCCAACACACAGAGCCGGAATTATCACCGTGCTGGGTCTATAGAACACCAAGGCAGAGGCATGGCGAGTTCGCTTTAAGTGATAATGCGCGGGAACTGTGATCAGGAATGTCAACTTCGTTTCAGCTTAACGGATTGATTTTAAAAACCCGACCACCATCTGAGCCTCACTACCGGAGACACCTTTGATGTAGAATCTTCAGATCGGTTTATCCGGGGGCTTATTTGCCGTGACGAGCGAGACCATTTAAGAACGATGAAGAACGAGGATGATCTAAGGCAGGATGTCGAAAGCGAGGAAAACATTATTTCCGCCGCGAAGATCTGCCGCATTCAGCACTTTGTTCTTGATAGCATGCCAGACATGAGACGAGCAACTTCGGGTCGCTCTAACAAGCTTTTCCGCATGGATCATACGAGCAGGTGGCAAAGCAAGACCTGTCTGTGGTCACTTGCCTCCTTCCTGGTCCCTCTTCCTTATGACACCGAGCGTCCATGTGAATTGCAGCCAAGCATTATTCAAGGTCTCTTCTTCGCAAATCTGGATCTTCCGCAGTATTGAAGAGAAGGACTGTTCTGAAAGGGAAATTTCCCCATGGAGAATGTTTTTCACTGTTGTAGCAAATGGGGTCGTTCATTTTTGTCCCCCATTCCGTCGACAAATTAGTTGAATGGCTTGATCCTGTCTATGATATGGGTATTTTCGCCGCCGGTAAGTTGTGATATCGACTCTTCTGTAGTCGTAGACCTGATGTGATATCCCACGTCTTGCAATGGGAGATTGTAGAGAAGTAGTAACTTGTGGTTCATGAGAAGTAAAAACCGTTAGAATCTCTCACAGAGGTATTAGGTTTGCGCATTGCGAGAACGAAGAACAAGATTATGTGAGATTACGGATATTCGCCAAATGAAGGAGTGGATCTCGGTAGTGCCAGGGGACAAGGGGGCTCTTCCAAGGTTGATCCAGCGGATGACTCTTCCTGGGAGGAGCTCCGCCTACAACATACGAGCTAGTCCTGTCAAAGATTGGTAAAGATGTTCTGATTGGAGAGGACCTCGAGAGGGAATCCATTATTTTTTGACTGCTCATGTCCGCTGGACCTTTAAATAATTACAAATAAATAATCAGGGAGCAAAAGCAGCAAGGTACGCATAACTAGCGGAGCTACTAAGATTAGTTATACATCGTTAAACTTTCAGGCCCCGTTGCCAACTCTGCCAACCTTGGAACTTGTCAAAGCCAAGGCACCAGCGCTCTAGATACCCATGGACCCGAGGGTATATCTGAAATGCCAGGTGCCAAGTCAGACTAGAAGCGAATAAACACCCGAAGCAGCACTAGCTGCTTGAAAATAGATGGAGACATAGGTCAGGCCACCCATGTCAAAGACAGTCTTCCACGTCATGCGACACCGCACTACCTTCGTTTCGTGATTCTAATCCTGCTTCGTTGTGGTTGTCTCCGTAGGTGACTTGATGTTTTTCTGTCTAGTGTAAACTTCATTTGCGACATTGAGACTATGATTCTACCAATTTGATTTCTATCTTTCGCATAGTACTTGTATAACTGCGTAGCATTCGCTGTCTTTCGCAAGATCAAGGGCGCTTTGTCCCGATACAGTCCTCGCGTTGATGTCGGCACCAGCATCAATGAGTAGCCTTGCTTTCTCATCAGATTCATCTGTTGAAGAATCTCCAGCAATTAGGTGCAATGCGGTCTCGCCAATTTTGGTGGTTGCATTCACATTCGCACCGGCATCGAGTATAAGTCGGATTGATTGCTTTTCGCCATACGCAGCTGCAGAATGCAATGGGGTTTTTCCTTCATCGTTGGTTGCCTCGACGTTGGCATCGGCTCCAAGAGCGACACGCACTAGCTCCGCGGAGCTTTCAGCTGCCCGATGCAAGAAAGTGTCCCCTCACCTTCATAGACACATCCGCACCATGGCTGAGAAGCAGATTAACGCAGGTTGGATCATCTCTGCCTGCATGATGTAGCACGGGATCTCCATTGTTGTTAATAGCATTCACGTCCGCTCCAGCCTCAAGAAGAGATTGAACTATCTCGAGATGCTCATGATCGGCAGCAATGTGCAGCGCTGTGTTCCGGTAGCACTCTGTTTCTGAGATATCGGATCCAACATCAATCAGGAGCTTTGCAATTTGTTGGTTCCCAAACAAGGCCACTACATGCAATGGTGTTTCGTGATCGATATTCCGTGCGTTGATTTCAGCCCCAGACTTGACGAGTAATTCAGTCACCGCGACCGAATCCCCAGCAGCTGCATTGTGCAATGGTGTCACGCCGTCATAACTGGGCGCAGAAACATTCGCTCCGGCGTGAATCAGAAGTCGTGTGGCTGCCTCATTCCCCCCTGAACAGCGAGGTGGAGCGCCGTGAAATCACGGGAGGAAATTGTAGTAGAAATGTCGGCTCCATCCCGAATCAGCACTTCGAGGAGCTCAAAATTATCTTCGACGACAGCTTGATGCACAGATGTAACTTGGCTCTCGGGCGCTTGATGATCATCCTCGTTTCTGTCGCAAGAACATGTACGAAGAGGCTCAATATCAGCCATGTTGTCCGTTGAAACAGAAAGGATTCTTCCAAGGCCCTTCGTGAAACCCTCTGATATCATATATTGCAGTGGGGGTTTCCAGAGCAGGATGACTAAGCGGCCATGATAGCAACGCAGACACCTTTCCACCTTCACTTCTCAGTAGTCACCCCATGGTAGGGTCCCCTCTTCAATATGTATATATATCTAAGCTCGTTCAGGTAAGTGATCTGCAGTATCGGCTGACATGACACATATTTTTCAAGGCATTCCAGGTCTGGTTCCAAGGTTCTACCTCTGGCTAGGAACCATATAAACATCCAGGTACGTACCTCTGTTTAAAAAAAGGAAAAAAAAGGAAAAGAAGGACAAGGTGAGGCTAAAAAGGCTATATCTCCAGAGTTCGGCCAAGGCCCCGGGGGAACCACTCAATTAATTCGAAACCAGTGATCCCCCTCAATAAACAAACCTGAAAGGTCCAGAGTTAAATGTCACTGGACAAAGACCCTATGTTGTAATTATGTTGTCAGATATTCAGTGAGCAGGACGTCCTAAGCGCCAGAAAGCGGCGCCACCCCGATCGGGAAACTTGCATCCGGGGTCCTAAAATCCGGTATGCAGGTAGACCCCTGACCTTGATTGATAATCAGAATCTGTTCGTGCTTATGAACTATGTATGTACACGGAGTTAGTCGGTCATAGTGGTGATAAAGATCATAAAAAAAAAATAGTTATGTACGTGCATCGGAGATTGCCATGAATATCCGATCTTTAGATCGGTTCTCGATCTGTTCTTTGGAACGTCTACGGGTGGATGAAACTTCGGTTAGGTACCGAGTCCCATGCGGAACGTCCGAATGTGGGCGGGGTCCGAGGGTTATGCATGGCCATGTGTATTTGTCATATTTATTTGTATACTACAATACTATCGTACATTATTAGAAAAGTAGTTACGGAGTACTCCGTGATGTAAAGAGATACGAGATCGAAAATAAGATCGATCCTTCATAGACTAGACTAGACTAGACTAGAATAGAAGAGCTAGGATCATAAACCCGTAGTTAACCTTTCGTTGGCTTATTGATCTGCTCTGAAACTTGCGGTCAAGTGACCCAATCAGATAGATGCCGCGTACCCGAGTGGCTCGACATAAAACCTGCATAAATCACGTGGCGCAAAAACGTGGCCGCAAACAGAATCAGAGCACTGTACGCCTTACCTCCAGGGCTGCATCTGAACACTCATATTTGTACTACGCATAGCCCTTTAATTCAATTTGGGAAGTATGTACGGATTAGGCATGAAATCAGGATGAAATCAATATCAAATAATGCCCCTGTCCAGATCGCAAATTTTCTCGGATCATATCTTGCCCGGGTCCGAGGCCCACCTATCCCACTTATTCCACTTATCCGTACTTTATTTGCATATTTGCATATATCGCGTTCATAAATCCGACAACCCCCCCTTTATATATAGCTGGCAGTTGACGTCCATATCTAATTCTCATGCCACTAATTTTTCGACATTCCTTAACCTTTCTATCCCCCGCATAGCTTCAGGAACCCACGCATTTTTCATTCTAATTAGCAAATACATACTCAACTACTGTCGACTATATATCGAAACCTTAATTCGCTACCTGCCCATCATGGCAGCTGACTCAGACCCTCAGGTCTCGGACAAGATCGAGTCCTCCGCCCCAACGAAAATTCCATACTGGCGATTGGTCTTTGACCAAGGTGTCGTCACACAAGAGATCATCGACCACCCATACCCCGGTTCAGGAACAGATGAGGACCCTTTTGCAGTAACATGGCTTCCCAACGACCCTCGCAATCCCATGAACTTCAGCGAGGTGAAGAAATGGACTTTTACCATGCTGGTCGCCGTCGCAACCTTGGCTGTTTCACTGGTGTCATCTGCCTATACCGGCGGTATTCGAGAGATTATGGTGGATTTTGACATTGGACAAGAAGTTGCCACTCTTGGTGTTTCGCTTTTCGTTCTCGGTTTCGCGGTAAGATCTCATCTTTTAGATATTTACTCTTGCGCAATCTGCTTTGCATGCATACTAACGTTATTTCTTTGGTATAGATCGGACCATTGCTCTGGGCTCCACTGAGTGAGCTGTTTGGTCGCCAAGTACTGTTCATTGGTACCTACGCCGCCCTCACGGCTTTCAACGCCGGTGTCGCAGGTTCTAGAAATGCCTGGTCTATTATCATCCTTCGCTTTTTCGCCGGTTCATTTGGATCTTCGCCTTTGACCAACGCCGGTGGTGTCATTGCGGACATGTTCCCCGCTAGACAGCGAGGTATCGCCATGAGTTTGTTCGCCGCTGCACCTTTCCTCGGCCCTATCATCGGCCCCATCGCTGGTGGATTCATTGGTATGAGTGACGGTGGCTGGCAATGGGTCATGGGTTTCCTTGCCGTCTTTGCTGGTACTGTTTGGATTATTGGCTCTCTGACGATCCCCGAGACCTATGCGCCCGTGCTACTCCGTCGCCGTGCGGAGAGACTGTCGAAGCTGTCAGGCCAGGTCTACCGGAGTAAGATTGAAATCGACCAAGGCAAGGTCTCTCTTAAGGACTCTTTCAAGGTGTCGCTCTCCCGCCCTTGGATTCTGTTGTTCCAGGAGCCTATTGTGTTCCTGCTGTCTCTCTACATGGCTATCGTTTACGGTACCTTGTATATGATGTTCGCCGCTTTCCCCATTGTCTACGAGCAGTCCCGTGGCTGGAACCAGGGTGTTAGTGGCCTCGCCTTCCTCGGTATCATGATCGGAATGTTGTCTGCCGTCATCTACTCCCTCTTTGACAACAAGCGCTATGTTGAGGTATCCGACAGATATAATGGCTTCGCACCACCGGAGGCACGTCTCCCGCCTTGCCTCGTCGCATCCGTCGCAATTCCAGTCGGTCTATTCTGGTTCGCATGGACTAACTACCCCTCAATCCACTTCATGGTCAGCATCGCAGCCGGCGTTCCCTTTGGCTTCGGAATGGTCCTAGTCTTCCTCAGCATCATGAACTACCTCATTGACTCCTACACCATCTTCGCCGCCTCCGTGCTAGCCGCCAACTCCGTTATCCGTTCCCTATTCGGTGCCGCTTTCCCTCTCTTCACCACCTACATGTACAAGAACCTGGGTATCCACTGGGCCTCATCGATCCCGGCCTTCCTGGCGCTCGCCTGCGTGCCCTTCCCATTCCTGTTCTACAAATACGGACCGGCGATCCGTACCCGTTGCAAGTTCGCCGCCCAGTCCGAGGCATTCATGCGCAAGATCCAGGAACAGGCCATTCCAGAACCGATGGAAGATGAGAAAGAGGAATACGACCGCACAGAGGCTCTGCCCGACGGTTCACTCTCCAGCGAATCCCAGGACGGCGTTGAAGAACTTGCTAATACGGAGCGCATTCGCAGCCGTGCGCACTCCCTTGCTTCTATTCGCACTGGTGCCTCGTTGGCTCGCTCGGTTACGTATGAGGGAAATCCTTACGATATCGACCGTGTCCACACCCGTGAATCCTTCAAGCAATAGGCGGCTGATGATCAGCTGTTTATTCCCTCTCACCTTACCATCTCTGTCCGGGCTTGTCATACCTATACATGCCTGTGTCACTAATCATAGTTTCTATTGACCCCTTTGCTTTGGGATCACTAAAAGTGCCCTTTTTGCGTGTTATACCTTTGTTTCTATTTTGATACCCGTTCATATCACCAAGGGCAACCTCATCCGACTAATGTTTTTATGGGCTGCATTTGTATAGCTGGAGTTTGGGATTGATTTTGAAAACACATACCTACACATACATACCAGGCTACTTTCGGACGCCTTTTCTACAAGTCTATATATCTCTTCCATGAATAGAGTTAAATGTAAACAAATCAAGCCAACCCTAATTAGAACCGCATCCGGGACTGATCTCGGCATTTCCCCCGCTTTTCGGCTCTTATCGCCACAATCCCCGAGGTCGGATTTCAAAGCCATTGTTTCTTGACTCACAATTTTCTTTACTTCCACCTTCAACTATCCTCACTCAAATAACCATATGAGGTCTTGGTCATGAACCCCCTCCGAAATGCCCTCTTACCAAGGGCCTCAACCTCACCCTCAACCCCTCTCCGACCGATAACCCCCAAATCCAAGCCGCAAGTATTGCGCCCACAGCGCCCACAACACCGATACAACTCGGACTCCTCTACAGGAAAGACACCAGCAGAGAGAAATGCCACACCTGCACACCCACCACACTCGCACTCGCACTCGCACCATTCAAGCCCCTCAACTCCACCCTCGCGCCCAGGCACAACCCCTGCCGCAGCCGCAGCCGGAGCACCGACCACACCAGCGCGAAGTCGCGGCTTCCGCGCGGTGGTAATGGCCGGCCCGCTGGGGAAGTTTGGGAGATGGTACGCGCGCGCGCAAGATCGCAAGCCGTATACAACGCAGTTCTGGAGCTCGATTGTTATCTACCTGTGTGGTGATCTGAGCGCGCAGATGCTGTTTCCTTCTGAGGTTCCTGCGCCTGCGAAATCGGACGCGGAAGATGGGGATACGGTGGAGGGTGTGGTTGCGGACGGGGAGACTGTGAGCGCTGGTTATGATCCGCTTAGGACTCTGCGGAGTTTGTGTGTTGGTGCTGGGTCGAGTATTCCTACTTATCACTGGTATGTTTTTGTGATGCGGATTTGATTATGCGACGGGCGACGGGCGACGTGCGACGGGCGACGTGCGACGGGCGACGTGCGACGGACGATCAAGGATATTAGATTGTTACATATTAGTTGGGAGGTCTGTATCCGTATTGTACACTGTTAGCTGATATAACTGCTTTCTCAGGTTCATGTTCCTCGGCAACCATTTCAACTACCCGAGCAAATTCCTCTCGATCCTGACGAAGGTCGTCGTGCAGCAGACGTGTTTCACTCCTGTCTTCAACACGTACTTCTTTAGCATGCACTCTCTTCTTGCTGGTTCGACGTTCGAGGAGACGTGGGAGCGGGTGAAGAAGGCTCTCCCTGTCAGTATCAAAAACAGCGTCAAGCTCTGGCCGATTGTTACTGCGTTCAGCTTCATGTACGTGCCGGCGCAATTCCGGAACGTCTTTTCTGGGTGCATTGCGGTTGGCTGGCAGACCTATCTGAACTGGTTGAATCTGAAGGCTGCTAGGGAGGTTGCGGCTGCTGAGGCGCTGGCTGAGGCGCAGGGGATGGGTGCTGGTTCGTTGCATCCTGTTTCTGGGGGGAACATGATCTCTGCTGGGACTATATGAGTGCGTGAACGGTAGACTTGGAAGTATAGTTGAGGCTGAGTGGAGGTATATATTTATAGATCCCGTGGAGTATTGGCGTTGGGATTCTTCTGTTTTAGAGCGATGCATGGGATACCAAGAGCAATTACTTAGATCAATAGACTTCAGTCTCTTTTGCTATTTGAATTCCATGTAATATTCAAGATCTTTACGATTATCAAGTATGTGATGGCCAGCCAGTAAGAACAACGGGATTCTTAAGGCAGCTCCCTCACCATCGCAATGACGCACCCGAACATCAACTCTATCTAACAGGTTATGATTCCCTCCCGTCGCAGGCATGTCCTGCCCAGAGAGAGATGAGAATGAATCTGACTACGGATCCGACTTCACTCCAGACGAAGAGGATCTGTTAAACAATCTGTTAAACAAAGCCGTCGCGGAACATGCGACCGCCGACGCCACTTTCATCTCGACATCAACCTGGCCCTCAACCCCAACGCCGATCGAACACATCACCGCACCAAAATCCCCAGGACTCGCCGAGCTCGATTCATTGCAACCAGAAGCTCTAGAAGCACTCCTTGCAGATATCGAGGATGGCATTGAGCCAGCTAGCGCTCGGCTGCCTAAGGTGCTGGGCCGGGAACAGCCTTACTCGCCATGGCGGCAGTCGCAGCCTCGACCAGGTCAGGCGGTTAGATGGGGTGCGAGGACGAGTGAAATGGGGAGGTCAGATCCGCGCGCTGGCAACAGCAACAGGAGTAGCCCGTTTGGTATGCTTTATCGTCTCTATTTTTCCTCTTCGCCTTCGTTGATCATCCACACTTTCCCATTCCCATTACATTGGTCCCGTTACATCCAACCCGAATTGAGCTGACGACATCTTCTCCGAAGCGTTTAGTCGAGACCGCTGATTCAACTGAGGGCCGAGAAAGAGAACGCGAGCGCAACGCAGCGCGCGCGCTCGAATTGACACAGCAAGATCCTGTCACCGCAGCGCTCGATACTCGATCCCCCGTCGAACGGTTCCGGCAAGCACCTAACAAAGCGTTTTCGGTGACGGATCTGGTCTCGCCGGCTTGGTGCGAGCTGCAGTACTGGTTCTCGTTGACTAAACATGGGCGGAAGAAGAGGACCGCTGCGATGAAGAGGGGGAGTACCATGCACAAGACGCTCGAGGATGAGATCTACACTACCGTCCCTGTGGAAATCACGACGAAAGAGGACGCGTGGGGTCTCAGGATTTGGAATGTTATACAGGGACTGCGCATGCTGCGCGAGTATGGTGTTACGCGTGAGCTGGAGGTTTGGGGCGTTGTCGATGGGGAATTTGTTAATGGCATCATTGATCAGTTGTCCTATGAATGTCCCAATCCGGAGCTTGAGACTACTGCTGCTGGGTTCTATGCCGATGCTGTAGCATCGCGCGCTGCGCTGCCGGAATATCAGATGTCCTTGTCGGATTTTTTGCTTTCTTCTTCGCAAGGCGGGATGAAGCTTTCGGACCTGGGGCAGAGTGAAGCTGCGGAAACGGGGTACACTGAGCCAGAATTGCCTGCGGCGGTCTATAACCTGCGCCGGATTTATTTGACAGACGTGAAGACAAAGGGTAACCGATCACTACCGAATGTCAAAAGCACGGGGTTTCGGCCTACTCTTCTCCAGCTGCAACTCTACTACCATATGCTCAACCGGCTGATCACGAGCGACGATGTCACTATCGATCGCCTTGCCGCTCGTTACGACTTCGACGCCGAGAAACCGTTCACGAACGCCTTCGTTTCGGAGGTGGGCGGCCTGAACGACCAATTCTTCGACGCCCTTTCCTCCCAAGAATCCGAACAGAGCCGGGATCCTTCCACTGCTAGCCAGGACTCAATCGATACCCTTCTAACACATAACAACCTCTCCCGTCTTTGGAGTCTCATGATACAGCAACTCCGCCTCACATTCCTCCCCGAAGATTCCCCCGACACACAATCCGTCGCACCATCAATCCCATCACTTTCCCAGCCAGAGCTTTTGGAACCATACTCAACCCTCCTCTCGCCAGTGCTTACGGCTAGATATCTCTCATCTGTCCCCGATGAAGACCTAAACAGACAGCTCATCGGAAGTCGATCTCTCCTCTTCGATCCGACAACCCTCACCTCCTACCTCGCTGACCAGATGACCTGGTGGCGCGGCAAACGAGATCCCGTTGGCGTGGATATCATGGACGCGTGGAAATGTCGGGTCTGCGAGTTCCGCGATGAGTGCTCTTGGCGCGAGGAGCGTGAGATGGCCTATGCGAGACGGGGTGGAGGTCGGAGAGCTGGGCCCATTGCGGATATATGATCTGTCTTGGTTGAGCCTGAGTTGAGACTTGCTTTTTTGTTACATTTAGCAAGTGCAGGAATATGCAGTTGGTAAGCACTGAGCATGCTCTTTTACTATGTACATTATATTGCGCCTGTTGAGGTCATCTTCATCCGGAGGTCATATACTTGTTTTTGATTCTGCGCAGGACCAGGCATTGCAATATTTGCATCTAATAGTCCTGATTTTGGAAAGGAAATCGCCAATACTCAAATAAACGAAAGACATCATCCATAAAAAGCCATAAACACATTGCACTCAAAGAGGATACCTCCTAACCTCATCCTCCTTCTCAACATCCAACCCCCCTCAACCTGCAGTCTATGCTTCTCATCCAGATACTCCAACAAAACATCCTGATACTTCTCCTTCCCCTTGTACCTCCCAACATCATCCCCCCAGCTCCTAACCGCATCCGCCAAACGCCCAGGGACATAAGGTTCCTCAGCAATACCAGTAACAGGCTCAAAATAAGTCCGAATGGTAAAAACCACCGCCCCAGACCTGGGCAATCTCCTCAACGACTGCCTCTCGGAGCGGAAGAAATGATTCTCAATAGCCCTGTTCTTCTCCGCCGTATTCCACGACACCGTCTCGGCATCCTCAGGCCCAATACTATGCGACCACGCCAGGTTATCGTCGACCTGGATGAAATAATTGTTCCGAAGAACCGGCTCTTCGGGCCGTAGTCGGCGGAAGAAATTCAGCATTCCCTTTTCCAGCTTGCTCTTGTACTGCGGCACGTCGCCTGATGTGTGGATTTCTGAGAGCCGCATCCCGAACTTGTCGCTCAGCCGCCAGAATCCCGCTAGTAGGACTGCGCCGGCGAGGAGGTAGTATTCGCCGTCTGGGCGCTCGATCATTAGTGCTAGGTCGTCTTGGACGAGTCGGGCGGCTGTTGCCATTGGGTCTTCTGGGAGTGGGCGTTGGGTTATGTTGAAGGTTTCGTGCGTTACTTTGTTGGTTATTCCTGTTGCGGTCTTGGTGAACATGCTTGGGTATCTTTCGGGGAGGTAGGCGCATCTGATAGAGGAGTTAGGGGGGAGTTCTTGGATATGGATATACATGTTTTCATCGCTCTTACAGTTCTTCTAGTAGTTCAATTGCAGCATCCATTGCCTCTGGTGCGGTGTGGCAGCATTTGCTCCCGCGTTCTTCAATGCGGCGTGCTTTGTCGGCGTGGTACTTTAAATAGTGGTTGTCGAGCTCTGTGTTCCGGGTATATGAGGTCAATGGGCTGCTGAGATCTGGCTATGGAAGAACGACTCACCGATCCATTCGTCCCATTTCATGCTTCTTAGACCTAGTGTGACGTAGTATTTTCTGCGGGAGAGGTTAAAAGACGGCCAGCAATATCTCTAATGGCTTTGTTCAACTTACGGGCCATATCTAAACGGCCGGTAGGGAATTGGCTTTGTCGAGTGGACATCCCATCCCGCGTATGGGGCGGCTGTTGGCCGTTTGAAGTCCGATGGAATCCATTCTATACAGAAATTTAGACTTTATCACTCTTGCATGCACTGCATTTACTTACCACCAGGTGGCCTAGTGACCTTTCCTTTCACGGGTTTCTCTAGATCACTTCTCGAGGCTTTGGTCGTACTAGAAACCCACTTCCGTGAGACGACGATAATAAGCCATATACAGACAGCGAAAATGATAAAGATATCCAAGGCCTGTTTCGTTGGGATGGATAATATAGTTCCCCATATGGACTCAAGTACCGACATGGTCATGGCAAGATTGTTCCAGGCAGTAGCTAGTTCGAGGATACATTGAGGATAGAAGCTGAGGAACTTTAGTAGTATATAGTAAATGCAGAGCCTTATCAAGTCTGGAGTGCGGAGAAGGATATTAACCGCCCAGATGGTCCTCTCATGCGAGATGCCGTGTTAATCCGATACGAGATAGTCCATCTTTGGTCAACATGTCAATGTGGCAGGAAATAGAGACCGTCCTTTTTGAGCTGTCAAATCCGGGACTGCATGATTTTGTCCTTGGTTTGTCTGTCGTTGGCCTCCACCGAAGCGGAGTAAGGGTTTATCTGCGGAGAAAAGCTAAAAGTTGAGGGAAATTTTGCCCTAATTGGGAAAGGTGAAGCTACGCATGTACTTGATACCCTCTTGTGTTATTTATTTGTTTGCACTCGATGCGAGTGAATGTTTCACTGTTGATGTTTTTACATAATTCTTCTAGAGGTTTTATCCAGAAAGATTCAAGACCTATACATGGCCTGCGACTGTTCGTTGGAGAAGACAGTATTCGCCCCATTTGCGTCGGAAGCGAGCTGGGATGATCGGGAAATCAGGAATCCAGATCAATCGACCTAAAAGACCTGTTTGAGACGCATCGAGGAAGCTTGCGCAGGAAAGCGTCTCCCACTGCGCCTTGTCCAGGAGGTAATGGGGCTCTAGCTCAGTTGCGTCGTGACCAGGGAAGTAAGAGTCAACCAGGAAAGAACATTGAGAGATATCCACCTGTTGTAAAGTCAGCATAGGGTATAATAGTTCTAAGGCTACGTTGAGACACTTACGTATTTAGTAGGGTCCTCGATGTTGAGATCATTCATGCCAGATGGAATCTGTGAGGCACCATCCAGACGCCCAATATAACTTGGCGCATCTGGGAATTCGCCCGGAAGTAGTCCTCGGAATTCACTTCGGATAAACTTGGCGCGCATGTCGTTGGGAAGGAAATACGATGACGGGAAGCGATACCACTCCTTGCCGAAACACACCGAGTCTCCTGCCTGTGCGATATCCACACGTTGTAGTGGCTCGAACACCTTCAATGGAGCGTTATAAGCCGTAACCATACCTAGAGTGCGGAGCATGCCAGCGTTCAGACCAACAAGAACAACTGACACAGCTGCAGCAATCTTTAATTTAGTTGGTACGCGGCCGATCAGCTCCTTTTGGTTAGTGGAGCCAAGGTAGGTTAGGATAATATGGAAGCTCAAAGCCCCGCTAAGTGCCAGGAACGGGTATGCTGGGTACATAAACCGCTCTTCCTTGTGTGGCTGGACCGAGAAAATCCCGAACCACATATAAAAAGGAGCGACCAGGGCCATGGACCGCAATGAGGTTTGCAAGGAGGCGGTGTGCGATCGGAAGACGATCTGGAAAAGTAGGAGGGGCGCGGATAGCATGGCGAGAACAAACCAGACATTGAAGTTGAGCAAGAGGTTTCGAATATAGAAAGTCCATGGCTCAGTTCCAAAGATATCTGGTCCCTTACCTTCTCCACCCAGGACGTTGTATGCAACAATGTTCCAAGGCACGAGAACGAGCTTTTGGAAGAAAGCATAGTCAACCGCAACTTCTAGAGCCTGTGATACAGCTTAGTAAAGAAATTGAAACCAAGTATGAAGTCACATACCAGGATCGACAAACAACGAGTGATACCATCAAAGACATTGTACAACAGTGAGCCGAAAGATCCAGGAATGAAACTGACAATAGCCTCCTCAGCTAAAAGAGGGACAATGAGAGCACCGGCAAACGGCCACCCAACAATTGTCCCCAGGCCAAACCACATGATGCCCTTCGCTGTTTTTCGGCTGTTTTTCCAATCCAGGAAAGACGCCAGACCAAGCATAGACATATACATGGTAAAGGTAGAGGGCAAAAAGGCTGTCGAAGCATGAAACATGCCAGGGCTGAGTGTGATGATCATGACAAAAAACAGACCGATCCGGGGACTGAGTGTACGACATATCGCAGAGTATAGTCGAGTCTGGCAGGCAGTACACAGAAATGCAAGAGATAGGCGAATTGTGTAGAATTCAGCTGTCTTGCTATGGACCACCAAAGATGCGATCTTGCCTACAGCAGCATGGAGCGACACGTAGAGCCAGCTCCGGATAGAATAAACCGGAGAATATTCCCAGGTTTGAAGACCGTATCCATGCTGCAGATAATGTGTAGGTTCCCAGAAATTGAACACCTCATCACAATCCTGAATTGGAGAGTATAGTGCGGCGAGAGTGTTGGCAAGTAGGAATATGTAGAGAGTGATGTTGAGGGGAATGTAGAAGGGAGCTGGTGGCGGTCTATACATAGGTTAGCACCATGTTTGATTTCACATAGATTCATGAACATACTGCTTCTTTGTCCGAGGCTTATGGGCATCCCCTAGGGCATTGTCGTTTCCTGCCATCTTGTACGTTGAAGTTAAGTCGAAAGGCCATCATCATGACAGAGCTGCGATAACCGATAACCGATAAGACATTGTTGACCGCCCTTCAGAGTCTGGCAAAATAAAAAAAAGTTTCCCGTCCGGCTTTTGATCTTTCGAATTGAACTGGGTTTTATTCAATAAGTTTTTGAGTTGAAGATTCAGTATGGATGGACATCAAAACCCTGCAACTGACAGCACAGGTGCCGGTGAAGGCCCTGCCTCGAAAAAACCCTGTCTTATCGAGACACCTATCGCAGGGTCCCAAGACATGGGCGCAACCAGTCTGAATGCTGGAGACAGCACAGCTGAGAAGCCAAGCTATATCCCCGGATTGAACCTTATTCAACACTCCTCCGACAAACAAACCGGTTCGGCTTTGACCGAACACACAATCAAGCAAGAGCAAGAGCAAGATCAACCAGTAAACCACCAAGAAGCCGAGACGGAAAGCAAGCAAGCGGAAATCCAGCACATATCCCAGCACGAGCCCACCGAAATACTGATAAAGAAGGAGACAGAGGCGAAACATATCACAAATGAGCCCACTGCTCCTCTCAGCGAAGCTATGGATGTCGCGCAAGATAACCACCAAGACAATATGATCGAAGCCACTGGCCAGGCGGGCGATGCCGAAGAAGAGGAGCATCCTGAGTGGGAGGTTGACTCTTCCCCGTACGAGTCATCTTCAGACAGCTCCGATTCCTCGGACTCTGACGATAGCGACGATGAAGACTACCCAATCCTCAGTGCCGAGGAGCAAGCGCAGATCCTCATGCGGGCGGAAGGTGGCTCTGATGACGAGGGAGATGGCAAGGGGAAATCAGGCGGACAACTGCGGACCACGAACGAGATCGAACACGAGGTCCTGCCTGTCCCTGACGTCAAGATCACCCCCGAGATGAAGATTGTGTTCCTCGGCAAAGTTCATGCCGCTATCGATAACAATGTTCTTATCGAGGCTAATACCTCTGGAGAATATCAGGTGCTTGAGTCGGGCTCCTTGCTCTGCTCTGCTGATCGCCAGATTATTGGTGTAGTAGCAGAAACCCTGGGCAGAGTGGAGAATCCTCTGTATACTGTCACATACGCCACAGCCTCCGAAGTTCAAGAAAAGGGCTTAGTCAAGGGCAAGGATATCTTCTATGTTGAGGGACACTCCACCTTTGTGTTCACTCAGCCGCTCAAGGGCATGAAGGGAAGTGACGCTTCTAACTTCCACGACGAGGAAGTTGCCGCCGAAGAGATGGAATTCTCCGATGATGAAGCAGAAGCCGAGTACAAGCGGAAACTGAAGCAGAGGCGACTTGATCGAAAGGAAGCCAGAGAAGGCCCCAAAGGCAAGAAGCCAGCCCCAGGACCTTCCAAATTGAACCAGACCGAGCTCAACTACGACGATGCCGGCGGCGAGGAGGGATACACCCCTCTTGCACGCCCTACCAACTTCCACGAGATGATGAGAACTCGCGAGCCACCAGTTGAAGGCAACGAGCGTGGTGGGTTCCGTGGAAGGGGTCGTGGCCGAGGTGACCGTGGCCGGGGTGACCGTGCACGTGGAGGACGAGGCAGAGGTGGACGCGGAGGGAGGGAGTGGGACCAGGATCGCCGGCCCCAGCAGGCCAGCGGCCCAACCCACGAGTCCCAGCCTCAAGCGCAGCCCGCTGCTCCCTACAGCCAGCCAATGTACCAGCAACCCCAGCAGCCATACGGGATGCCCCAGCCCTTCGCCGCGTATGCGCAATACACACAGCAAGCCCAGAACCCGCAACAGCCGCAATTCGGCCAAGGTGGAGCGCAGCCACAGATGCCTTTCCAGTTCTCCCCATATCCGGCCTTCCAACAACCGCAACCCAATAATTTCCAGAACATGCAGCAGGGTGCTCAATTCAATCCTCAATCCCTGGCTCTCTTGCAACAACAACAACAGCAACAATTCCTGCAGCTTCTGCAGCACCAGCAGCATTACCAACAGCCTCAACAACAGCCCCAGCAGCATCAGCCTCCCCAGGCCCAAACTCCAGCTATGAACTTTGACCAAGTTAAAGCTCAGCTGGATCTGCTACGCAACCTGAGCGGCGGAAACCAGGGTCCTCCTCCTTCCTGATACTTTGTTTTTCATACATGTTCTTCTATGATAGATATCCTAGCATCGGCTTTGCATACGGAGCGTGGTTTATGTGGGTGGTTAAAAAGCTTTCCATAGCTCTAATTGAGTGCTTGTTTTGAATGATTTACGGTGTCAAACAGTAAATACCTGAAGTATCATGGATCATGTATGACAATGACAATGGCTATGAAGCAAGTTCGCTATCTGTAGACGTACAATAAACCTAGACGTTGATTATCTGTCGTAGGAAATGTTAATATTCAGCTGGCTTGGCACTCTTCGCGAGTGTCCAGAAGTTCTCCATCTTGGCTCGGGACAGGGCTGCTTTGGCAGCAGAGTCGGTCTCACAGATACGAGCACCGAACCATTTCCTGAAGGCTCGGCCTTTGGTCGGTCCTTCCCAGAGGAGATTACATGTGTTCGCGCTAAAATCCCGGGGCTCTCCCTTATCATCTTCAGTGGATAACCAGGAAACCTGAGCTTCAGGGCTGTCTGCAGGCACTCGATCGGATCCAGGGTTTTCGGTCCAATCAATGCGGTTCAGCATCAGCTTTCGATAATTGTTGATAGAGTGTTGGCCGCCCTCAACGATCACCAGGTTGAATCGGGGATGCATGACACACATGCCCGTCAGATTATTTTGTTCTGCGTTTTTGCCGATCTTGAAGCGGTTCCGGCCGCTTGCCAGACTGTCAATTCGATACACAGATTGGAATATGCCCAAAGAGGCATCCTTCTCTTTCTGAGCTTCCAACTTCTCGCGCCGTTGCTCCTTGGTCAGTTTGCGGTCTTCATTCGTCTGCTCGTGCGCTGCCTTCCGATCTGCGATCTCCTTGGTCACACGAGCTTCCACGGCCGTGGGGTCCTTCACAGCTTGCTCTCCCAAAACCCGCATCAGATTGGATTTCTTGACCTTTGGAGCCGGTGCTTCCACGAGTCCCAACCTGATCTTGGCTTGCTGTTCCTTCAGATCTGCCATGCGTCGCTGTCGTCGAATCTTGGCTTGTTCTTTCGGGGTAAGGAACATAGGCTTCTGTGCAGGCATGTGCTTGTCTTGAGGAGGTTCGAGCTCGATAGGATGCTGGACATAGCTGTTGAGGGTATCAAGTTTGATGTTTTCCGGGTTATCAATTGCGTCATAGTCGCTGCCATTAACCAATCTTGCATCCCACCACTCTACATCGGGCGGAGCAGGAACAAGGAATGCTTTCTCCACATCCATATCCTCGTCAAGCCCGGCCTGTCGCGATTTCTCTGCAATTCTTTTCTTCATAGCTTCCAGCTGTGCTTGTCTGCGTAGAGCCGCTGCCTGTTGGATGTATTTACCCTTTTGATTGAAAAGGAGCTCTCGGGTTTGTCGGGGCTTTGCAATAGTTGCTTTGGGGTTGAGAGAGGGGTCGAAGTAAGGATTATTCCTGATTTCCTCGGCGGACGGACCAGACAGATCAAGCTGAGGCCCACCAGCACGTTTTGGCTTAGACTGTCGTCCATTTGCACCACGATATTCCGGTGGAGCATCAGACAGAAGCGCGGGATGAAGGCCAACATCCAGACCACCGCGAGCCTTGGACATGCCCTCATCGTCATGCGCCGGTGGTTGGTAGGATGGTGCGGGTGCACTGGGTCGCGGCTGAGAGGGTACACTTGCTCGTTGAGTAGCAGCAGCAACTCGAGCTTTCATTTGTTCTAGTTTCGACATCGCAGGAGCGGGTGGTGGTGGTGGAGGAGGATTTGCAGAAGGTGCAGGCGGTGGTGTTGGGGTCGCTGGTAAGCTACCGTGCGCTTGTAGACGTGCGCGCACAGCTTCTGCTTTTGCCCTTGCTTCTGCCATTATTTTCGCAACATCTGGCTTGCCCGGGGCAGCACCTCCTTGACCTGGTGCTGGCGACCCATGGTTGGAGCGGGTCCTTTTCTGGGAGTTGTCGTGTTGACCCTCAGGGTGAGGACGCTTGAGCGCATTGCCCGATGCATCAGCCATGATGTAGACGGCTTCTCACTCGGTCTTCCGACGAAAGGAAAAACAAAAAGGTTGAATGCGTAAAGGATAGACAAGTAACAGCAGTTGTGCATCAATCCACACGGAACCCGAAAAGGGTAAGGCGGTGGCGCGATGGCAGAAAAGAAGTTGGTCCGGAAAAAAAAAGTTCGCTCCAGAACTAAAAGCACTTGGAGATCTTGTATCCAAGCACTTTGATTTCGCGCGACAGCGTTTTCTGTTGCTCAAGGAGCTGCAGGCTACAATGGCAACTTTCGCGCGCCCCGTCGCCTCGACGATTAATGGGGTCGACTTCAATGTCTACTCCGAGGAAGAGATTAAAGCTCTCTCGGTGAAAAGAATTCACAATACTCCGACTCTGGATTCATTTAACAATCCTGTTCCTGGTGGTCTTCAAGACCCTGCTATGGGCGCTTGGGGAGATCATGTGTAAGTCTTGACTTGAGTAGTATACTGTTCAATCTTTAACGTTTGAGTTTTTCTTATTCTACAGATGCACAACCTGTCGCCAGAACTCATTCACTTGTACCGGGCATCCTGGACACATTGAGCTGCCAGTACCATTCTATAATGTCACCTTCTTCGATCACATCTTCCGCCTTCTCCGAGCACAATGTGTATACTGTCTTCGCCTGCAGATGGGTCGCAACCAGGTCAACATGTACATCTGCAAATTGCGCCTTCTGCAATATGGCTTGGTTGACGAAGTCGCTGTTGTCGATGCGATGGGAGCCGTGAAAGGTAGCAAATCAAAGGCGACCAGCAAGGAAGGCGATTCGGACGACTCAGACGATCCCGATGAGGATGACTATATGCAAAAGAGGACTGATTATGTCACTCGGCGCATTCGCGAAGCCAAGAAGGAGGGCAAATTGGACGGTTTGATGCCTGGCGGACAAAACCCTATTGCCGCGGAGGCCAGGCGAGAGTTGATTAAGGCCTTCTTCAAGGATATCAATTCGTTCAAGAAATGTGTCAGCTGCAGCGGGTACGTTATGCAATATTCCTCGACCCCGACTTTGGCTTCCCAGCTAACATTATGGCAGAGTGTCCCCCGCCTACAAAAAGGATCGCTACAACAAAATCTTCCGAAAGCAATTACCCGAGAAGCAGAAGCTTGCAATGTTGCAAGGAGGATTCCAAGCACCGAATACCATGGTCCTTCTCGAGCAAGAAAGGAACTCCAAGTCCAAGAACGGCGTTTCTGAGATCCACGGAGCTGAGGAGGAAATTCGCCGTGGTGTGGCTGTCGTGCAGGAGGTACAGGGATCGACCGGCCAGGAATTCATGTCTTCTTCCGAAGTCTATGGAGCTCTTCATCTTCTTTTCCAAAAGGAAAGCGAGATCCTGCAGCTTGTCTACAACTCTCGACCTGTGCCCAAGGGAATGAAAGTTGTGTCGGCGGACATGTTCTTCTTCAAGAGTCTTTTGGTGCCACCAAACAAGTACCGCCCCGCAGTCCAGCAGGGTGCCGGAACGGTCATGGAAGCACAGCAGAACACTTCGTTCAATGCGATTTTAAAGGGTTGTGACACTATCAACCAAATCAGCAAGGAGATTCAAAACGAGGAAGAGAAGACCATGTCTCGGGCACGAAACTACAGTGACCTCCTTCAAGCCATCGTTCAACTCCAAGATGTGGTCAACGGGTTGGTGGACCGCGAGCGTACCTCTGTCACCGGCTCAGCTGCCTTAGCACAGCCTAACGGTATCAAGCAGATTCTCGAGAAGAAGGAAGGTCTGTTCCGAAAGAACATGATGGGCAAGCGTGTCAACTTTGCTGCTCGTAGTGTTATCTCGCCCGATCCTAACATCGAACCCAATGAGATTGGTGTACCTCTTGTCTTCGCCAAGAAGTTGACTTTCCCTGAGCCTGTTACAAACCACAACTTCTGGGAGTTGAAGGAGGCTGTTATCAACGGTCCCGACAAATACCCTGGCGCTTCTTCCATCGAGAACGAAAACGGACAAGTCATCAACCTCAAGTTCAAGAACCTGGAAGAGCGGACAGCTCTTGCCAACTCACTACTCGCACCGTCAAATTGGCGCCAGAAAGGTTCGCGCAACAAGAAGGTCTACCGTCATCTCACCACTGGTGACTACGTCTTGATGAACCGTCAGCCAACTCTGCACAAACCCTCCATCATGGGTCATAAGGCTCGTGTCCTTCCCAATGAGCGGGTTATTCGCATGCACTACGCCAATTGTAACACCTACAACGCCGATTTCGATGGTGACGAGATGAACATGCATTTCCCTCAGAATGAGCTTGCCCAAGCGGAAGCCAGAATGTTGGCAGATGCCGACCACCAGTATCTCGTTGCTACATCAGGAAAACCGCTCAGAGGTCTGATTCAAGATCATATTTCTATGGGAACGTGGGTTACGTGCCGTGACAGCTTCTATGACGAGGAGGATTATCACCAGTTGTTGTACAGTTGCTTGAGACCAGAACATTCGCATATTGTCACTGACCGGATCCAACTGGTTGAGCCTGCCATGCGCAAGCCCAAGTGTCTATGGACCGGAAAACAGCTCATCACGACAATCCTCAAGAATATCCAGCCTCCAGAGCGAGGAGGTTTGACCTTACTGAGCAAGTCTTCAACCCCTGGCGATCGATGGGGCGAGGGCAACGAAGAAGGAGAAGTTATCTTCCAGGATGGAGAGTACCTTTGTGGTATCCTTGATAAGAAACAGCTCGGTCCCACGGCCGGTGGTCTCATCGATGCCATCCATGAAGTTTATGGATACAGCATTGCTGGCAAGCTCATCGGTATTCTCGGAAGACTTCTCACTCGCGTCCTGAACATGCGTGGCTTCAGTTGTGGTATCGACGATCTTCGATTGACCAAGGAGGGTGACCGTATCCGTAAGGAGAAGTTGGCCACTGCTCCTCAAATGGGTCGCGAAGTTGCTTTGAAGTATGTCACCTTGGACCAGGCTCCTGGTGACCAGACTGCCGAGTTGAATCGACGATTGGAGGAGGTTCTTCGCGATG